TTTCAGATTTTCCCTAACTTCCTGCCACTTTTTGCCTTTTTTTTCCAAAATTCCCGAAAAGTTCCCTACTTTTCCCCAAAAATTTTGCTGTCGAGGGGATGGGGTATATACTACGCATGAAACAGGAAAGTCACGAAAAGAACCACCTGTCCTCCCAGAAGGCAAGGAAACAAATACGACCCCCCCCCCCTCCCAACAATGACCAAGTACGACCCCCTTTTACAACGTCCGTGAAGCGAGAAAAATCAACTATCAAAATAAATTTTTCTCAGCCCAAATACGACCCCCCTCTCCTGGCGGCCAAATACGACCCCCCCCCTATTGGGGATTCCCCAACAACGATGTGCCCTGGCCGCACAGCCAGCCACACGCCTAACCGCAGCCAAACGCGCTGCTTGTCTGCGCCCTCTCAATTCCAATTGCTCTCTACCGCTGAGTACGTGTTTCGCTGCGGGACTTCGGTATCAAATATTGCATTTGAAGGTAGCAAGCGCGGAGTATGGAGACAATTTTCTGATATCAGTGCCCTGCAGCTCCATTCCTGTGTACTTTCGGGAGGAGAAAGTGACAGTCATTGCAGCTGCGGACCCATTCACCTTGCAACAGAGGGGACCGTCCTCAGAAGTGAGTGTTCGTCCCTAAGGAAAATATAAACCACCTATCCTGTATATGCGAAACCTTCTTTTGCATGAGAGGCTGTACTATCCCTAGCACTTTACCGGATTTGACGGCAATCTTCAACTACGCCACCGCTTCCTGCACTAAATTCGCCCAACCTAAAAACAAATCGAAGGAATAGCGCGGAACAAAATTTGTGAAATCTCGTGGTTTCATATAGGTCCTTCCGGGACTACTGTCCACGAGAACTCCCACCTTACTGGACTAGGGATTTTTGTGAATTACGTAGAAGATTTTCTTCATCTTTTTTTTCTTCTGCGAGAGGATTCGAGCTTAGCGTTTTCTAGTCGTTGTCACTTGCTTGTGAATGTTATCATTCCTGCTATCATTCACGTGTCATTCATATTTCACTTGTCGTTTATCATAATTACCGTACTACGCGCCTTTCTCTTCTTGTATCTCTCATTTTAATAGCAGTGAGCCTAATAAAGAAGACTAAACGTTGATTAGATGTTATTATTGCGGCTGTTCGAAATAATAAACCTTGTACTTCAACATTCTAACGTCATCGAGCGTCAAACTTGTCCACTATGGACTTCGTCTTACTTAGGTGAAGCCAGAATTTGTGCTTGACTAATTGGTACGGTCACTTCCTTGCCCATGTAGTCCACTCCGCAGTCTCAG